GTCCCAAAGCGAGAGGCCACCTGGGAACCAGACTGTCTGCTGTCTCTGTTGGGGAAAGCTGGGGAGGAGGCAGGGGTAGGGACCAACCTTCACGGCGCCGGCACGGAGAGCCAGGGCTGCCGCTTAGCAATTTGGGGTGGCCTGCTCCACATTTCTCATTTCAAAACCAGGTTTCTAAGAAGCCAAGAGCACAGTTATTGGTTTCTGGGTCCACCCACCCCACTCCAGGCCAAGGACACAGTCACATTCCTGGGCTTTGCTGTGCGGCCTGAGAGGGAGTGGTCCGTCCCACCAGGGAGCTAGGGGGTGTGAGGGGGGGGGGGGAGGAGGAGGATGTTCTTTGGGCCTTGGAAGGCACTGGAACCCCAGACAATCATACTGGCTCAGGGACTCCCGTGGCAGCCCTCCAGGCCTTGCAGCAGGGAAAGCCACAAGTGGTCTGGGCATTGCTGGACGCGGGCACCTGTGCTCCACAGTGAATGGGATACCGCCCTTGGAAAGGGGGGTGTGGGCAGCCAAGGTGACCCTGACCCCTCTAACCCCAGGATGGATGCTGGTGCAGGGAGGGGACAGAGGAAGGCATGCGCACCAATATGGACCAGCGGCAGCTCTATTGCTTGCCCCATTCACCCCAGCACCAGAGAAGAGTATCAGACTCACACCCAGGCCCCACAGGCCGGTCTAATAAGTGCACGTGGGTCCATGTCCACAGTCCGGGTGCCCCAAGCCCAGGAGACCCCTCCCAGAGCAACCACTTCCTGAAATCTGAAATAGGCCCTTCTTCCCTTCTCCCTGGGTTCTGTCCCTCAAACGAGGCCTCCAGGATAGGGACCAAAGACCACCTGGAAGCCATATATTTTGAGGAAGAGAATATCTAATTTGGCTCAAGACCAGACAGGGCGACTGATGATCCAGTCAAGATGCCCTGTGCTCCACCACCTCTTCCCAGCCATGGCTCCTCCACAAGCACATGGCTCCAGCCAGAAACACCCAGCTCTATCACAAGGGCATGCTCACCTTGGGAGGCATCCTCTCCCCAGAGAGATGTGTCTCTCTCCTGCCCGCACAGCTCCACGTCTGGCAAAGCCCACGCGTTGGGGGCCATGCCTGGGGGTCCCGGGACCCTAGCTAGCAGCACAGAGGCGGGAAGGCTGAACTGGCTACAAGGGACTCCCGGAGGCCAGCCAGCCCACAGGCCTTTGCGCTGTCATCCTGCAGCTACTTGCTTCCAGTAGCTGGACTCAAGCCACAGAGGCATTCATGGTAGTTACTGCCCCAAAGAGACGCCTTCACCTAGCCCACCCGTAGGGCTCAAAACTCACAGGGACCCACCCTCTCTGCCATCTCAAGGGTTACCAGTGCTGGGGTTGGGTCTCAATCCCAAACTTGTCAATGCCCAGTCTGCATCCTTACCAACTACAGGCTGCTGGTATCAACGAGGAGATGGGTGCAAAGCATCCAGTGCGTTCCCAGCCCCAACCCATTCTCCCATCTCCTTGGCATTGTGATCCGTCTCCTTCTAGCTACTCTCTCTGTTCCTAGCCTGGTTAGCTCCTTATCATGTGCTCCCTTGGATCACAAATGTCTCCCTCCAGCCTCCCTGCTCTGACCTGTCAAGATCCCAGGCAGCACTTACCAACATGAGCACCCACAGCACGGCATGGTGCCCATGAAGGAAGGAGGGCAGGACAGACCCACCTCCCAGGGGAAGGTGGGGCTCACTCATGACCCCTCATCACCATCAGGCGCTGAGAGTTCCCTGCACAGACGCCTGTTGCTCAGCTCTCTTTTCTCCTCTGGGACAGCTCAGCAAGGTCACCGGCCATTTTTACAGGACGAGGAGGTACCACTCTGTGACAGAGGCCCATGCTGGGTGAGAGGGCTGCCTCCCAGGGTCCCTTCCCGCCAGTCTACTAGCTTCAGTGAGGGAACAGGCACTCCGTAGACAGTCTGCTTCTTGGGGAAGTGTCAAGATTACAGGGGTGACAACAGAAGTGACAGATGGTGCTGGGGATAGAGCGGACATGGGAGGGGGGGTGACGGGCTGGGAGGAATGCCAGGTGTGAGGCTGCCATGCTGCAGCTCCTTCCCTCTCCCTCTCCTAGCTCTCCTTTCCCCTACCCTACCCCAACCTCCCACCCCCCACCCTTCCAACCCCCCCTAACGCCTCCCTCACCACAGTGTGGGAGCCCTGACCCATGGGATTCTGACAGGAGATGGCCTTCCAAGGCAAGACAAGGTAAGCCCTGGGATTGGGTCCCAGCAAGGACGAGGAGCAGAGCAAGAGTGGACAGAAATCTGATGGCCCAAGGATGGCTAGAGGCGACAGGAATCTTCTGATGGCGGTCCCAGACACACCAGTCCAGGAGATACTGACCGTAACCCACGGCGGATCTAGGGTGAAGCAGGACTAAGCCGAGAGGTAAAGGCTGCTGAGCCTGTGGTGTTTCCATCGCGCTATGTGGGAAACGGGAACCCAGCACACACTGACCTCAAAGTACAACTCTGCATGCTCATCCGAGCCCCGAGTTAGGGGTTCCCAGCCCTCCAGGGATGTTCGGACCACTGGCCCAGCCTGAAAGGCAGTGTAGACCCGCCGTAGCTCAATGAGATCAGAGCCTCATGGCCACTGCTTAACACCAAAGTCAACCCTGGGGCTGAGAGGCACCGAAGCGTGTTTCTGAACACGCCACACACACTGCAATTAACCTTCAATGAACTCTTTGAAGAGCATCAGTAGGGCTGTGCCTATTTCATAGCAAGATAAAGGGAGAAATTATTTTCCCAAGATGACAAGCCAGGAGAGGCGGAGTCCAGACTCCTAAATTCAGGCCCCAACCCCACCCAAGGTCTCCGCTCAAATTCAACCCTCCCCGGGTCCTCCCAGGAGTGTGATGGCCCCGAGTGCAGAGGGCACGGAAAGCATCCATCCGGCCAGCTGGCACGGCTACCCGGGCCCCCGAGCTCAGGCTGTATACTCTCCCCGGAGTCAGTCCCCTCTCTGTGCCTCAGCTCACCACGGGGGAACACCCAAATCCTCCCAGAGAGCCAACCTAGGAATCCGAAGAAAGGGCCTTTCCAGCCCGCCTGGCCGCTCAGCTCAGCCTCTGAGGACAATCTCTGGGCAGGCGGGGACGGGAGCCCCTCGGAAGGGTGCCGTATAGCAAACCTGTTCTCTGCTGCCTTCTTACACAGAGCCAGTCTTCACACCGACATGGGCTCTAGGTATCGACATGGGCTCTAGGAATCGTCTCTCCTGTGGGGTGTCTTACCCTGTGCCAGACACCGCTCTGAACACCTCCCTGGACCCTCTCCTTGAATCCTCACAATAACCCTTGGAGGGATGTCATATTTTTATCCTCTTATTCAGATGAGAACACCGAAGGGGTTAAATAACTTGCCCGATGTGGCCAGCAAGTCAGGTGGTCCGATTCTGGTTCCTCTACATACCACTCCCACCTGCAAGACCAGCTGCTGGAGCAACCCCTGGCCACAGACAGACAAGCCTCGGACATAACTTTCTGGTCAGCTGGGCAGAGAAAATGCACACAGACACACGCCCTCTCGGGTCTCCTGCTTCCGCTAAGCGGCAGGTCTGTGAGGATGCAGGCACTGCCCTCCTTGGGGACATAAATTCTCATGTGCTGGGCAGAGCTGAGGTGAAGCTCTGATTGATCCAACCTCTGAATCTCTCCTCCTGTATCGAAACTTTACTTAACGGACACAGTCCCCTCCCCAGTGGAGATAAAATACCCCAGTCTAGAAGTTATGAAACCAAGAGCTCCTGCTTTAGTGATGCCTATTTCCAAGTAGACCAACAAATGTATTTTCGGGTTCAAGGGAAGAAATTTACATATATAAATTCAGACGGCTGTATTTATAGCAGTCATTGCATAAGTCCTAGCTCCCTTATTTAGCCCTAGGACCGATTCCTTATCAGTCACATATTCAGCATTCCCCCTCCCCACTCCCCACAACAGCCCAGGGCTCTCCCTCCCCCGCCCCAGCACCGGGCTCCCAGGCAGGCAAGAGGACACAGCTTCCTTCACTGTCACAGCCCAGCCTCCCAGACACACCCAGATCCAGCCTCAGACACCAGGGCACATGCAGACACAGCCCCAGAAGGGCCCCTTCCCCCCGCAGAATTAGAAAAGCCTTTAGGAAGTTGGCCATTGGAAGGCTCAGGCCCAGAGCCCCCCTGCGGAGCCCTTCCTCCTGCAGAAAGCATCCCCGAACTGGGGCCCAGACAAACATCCACTGGGCCGAACCTGGCACCGCTCCAGTTCCCGGGGAATGGCAGCCTCAGACCTGACCACTGAGGCCAATCCTGCCTGGAATTGCACCCAGGATTCCGTCGCTTGTTGAGGGGTGGGGGTAAGGAGGGGGGAAAGAGTGGGAGTGAGGGGGGAGGAAAAGCAGGCGCAAGGTCTTCAGGACCCGATCTGCCACTGCCCTGAGCTCATCCGGGGTCCCCCTTGGGTGCCTAGGGCTTCATCCTCAGCGATGGTGCCCATCCAACAGCACCTGCGAGGCCAAGGTTCTCCCCAGCGGCGCAGAGAGAAATGCCCAGGAACAGGGCGGTGCGGAGTATCGGGGATCCTCCCTCCCGCCCCCGGGGTCCCGGTCTGCCCTCGCACCTGGCCGGAGCCAGGCGGGTGGGTGTAGGCTCCTTCCTCCCCGCGAACCGGGCCTGCCTCTCCTGCGCCCGAGGAGGGCGAGCCCGCCAGCTGCCCGGCCAGGAGCCCCGCCGACGCCCCGGGACCCCCGGCTGATGCCCCGGGACCCCCGGCCGACGCCCCGGGACCCCCGGCTGATGCCCCGGGACCCCCGGCTGATGCCCCAGGACCCCCAGCTGACGGACGCCGCCAAGAGCCCGCCGCGGTGGCCCCAGGCCGGCGGGGCGGGAGGCCCGCTGACAGCCCGGCCCGCGCCCCGGCGGCTGCAGGCGGCCCCTCCCCGCGCCCCCCGCCCCGGCCCCCGCGCGCGCCCGGCCGGCTCACCGAGCAGCGCTCCAGCTCCGTGGCCGCCATGGCGAGCTCCGCAGGGGCGCGCGGGCGGGAAGAGCGGCCGGGCCGCGGCGGGGACGAGCCGGCTGCTGCGGGACGCGCTCCGCCCGGCGGCTGCGGCTGAATGGATCCAATATGGCCACTTCCTGGAAACTCCCCTCGGCGGCCGCGGCGGCGGAGAGAAGCTGCGGAGCCGCCCCCACCCCGCCCGCGGGACCGGCCCCCCCGCCCGGCGCCGCCGAGCGCGCCGCCCGCGCCCCGCCGCTGGGCCTGGCCGCCGGGGTCTCCGCGGCTGGCGCGGCGGAGGCGCCGGCTGCGCGGGCTGCTGGGACTTGTAGTCTGCGCGCTGGGGGGCCGGGGAGGGGAGGAATGGGGGGCCGGTGCCCGCCGGGCTGCCGCGTGTCCCTGGGCCGAGCCCGAGGAAGCCGGCTCCGCGGGAGGAGAGCGGGGTGCTGCGTGCGCCCCGGGGTCTCCCCGGCCGAGCTGCCTGCACCACGTCGGACGCAGCCTGCAGAGGCGCCGGGACACCAGCCAAGGTGGCGACGCGCGGACGGCGCCGGCTCAGCCTCTAAAGCCGGTGCCCTGACCCCCACCTGATGCTCCGGGCGGTCGGAGCCAGGGCGGGACCCAGGGCGGGACCCGCGCGTCCGGCCCGGCGGCCTTCCCGGGCCAGGCGGCAGCCCTGGCGCCTTGCGCAATGGAATGCGCAGGAGGCGAGGTCCAGGCCCTGGATTGGAGCGATAGAAAGGGCTGCTGGATGGTCAAGACATCACTCTGCAAGTGACCATCACCCTACCTGCCCCAGAGGGCCAGGGCAACGTCTTAATGGATTCCGGGCAAAGAGAACCATTACTCCCACTGCGTGTGCATCCCCTCTGCTAATCTCACCAACCAAAACGGGCACAAAACGCAGAAAGCTAACACCTCTGCCCAAGCAGGGAAGTTGTCAGAGGGTTCTGATCCTTTTCACTGACTGTCCATATACCATCCAGCTCCCAGACCTCTGAAACCCACCTTTTCTTTCTCTTCCCCCTGTTTTTCTGTTCAGGCTTTGAGAATGGGGCCAGCTTTGCCTCCTGTTCTTCCACTGGCCTCATCCACCCTACACACACACACACACACACACACACACACACACACCACACCCCTGGCTCCCCAATATCTTCCTGAGAAACAACTGGCCTGTCCCTCCCATTCAGAACGTGTGCTGGCTGGCGATGCCTGAAGACCACATCTGGCCTCGGCACCCCTGGCTTTAAGAGGGTCTCCCAGTCCTTGCACTGGATGGTGTTTGCACCAGCTTCCCTGCAGCTGGCCTTCTCACCCCAAAATGGCTTTCCTCTCCCTTCTCTCCCAGGCAACCGAAGCTTGTCCCGAAGGTGAACTCACATCCCACCGGACCTCTCTGACTCTGTTTTCATTTCGTCCTCTCGATCACGGTGTTCCCCGTGCTGCCTTATACGTGCATCTACAAGAAATGCGCAGAGCAGCGGGTTAGGGAGCTGGACTTGGGCAAACCATCTGGGTTGGAATCCTGCCTCCATCCCTTGCTAGCTTTTAACTTAGGCAATTTAGTTAAGGGTGCCTCCCTTTCCTCATCCCCAAAATGAGAATAATTATAGTACTTCTGTCACAGGATTAAGTGAGATAAAATAAGTGAAGGGCTTTAAACTATACTTGAAATAAAATGTTTAATAAAATCTCCCTCTCTAGACTGCAAAGGCCTTACTGTTGAGTGGATCATCTCAGGCCATATCTTTTTGTTTGTTTCGTTTCGTTTCGTTTCGTTTCGTTTCGTTTCGTTTCTTTTCTTTTCTTTTCTTTTCTTTTCTTTTCTTTTCTTTTCTTTTCTTTTCTTTTCTTTTCTTTTCTTTTTCATATAACTGGTAAGAAATCCGTCCCAACTGCCATTTTCTGCATCACAACGCCCGAGGATTTGCCCTAAAGTATCTTTAAAATTGTCTTGTTTCCCCCTAGTTGCGTATATTTCAAAATGTCTGCTTCTAGCAGCCCAGCTGATGGCCTTGAGAACTAAGCACCCAGCTTACAGCTGACTTCCTTCCATAGGATATGTTCCCTCTCCTAGGAGAATTTATACATACTCCCCCAAATTTCTTTTTATTTTTCTTCTTTTTCTTCTTTTTCTCCTCCTTCTTCCTACTCCTCCTCTTGCCCCTTCTACTTTTTCCTCTTCCCTCCCCCATTCAATAGTACTACTGACCAGAAGTAAGAAAGGGTATATCACCTGTGGGGACATAAAGGTAAATGCAACAATCATTTTACATGAGTCAACGTGTTATTTCTCATGGCAGAATTTCTAAGTGTCCCTTACACACCCAGGAGAAGTTCACAGATGTTACATACACACCCAGCGTGGTCCCACAGTTAAATAACAACATGTATGGAATGCTGAGTTCCACACAGGAAAGGGTTTCTGTAGAAGTCCTCAGAGATTTTGATCAGCTGCTCTGCACTGTCACTGTGTGACAGGCAAAGGGAATAGGCAGCTCCTCAAACTTAGCTCATCGCTCCTCTGACCCCACCCCATACACACCCAGCACTCACTGAACTTGACTATGACACACTTCACTGTTGTTTGTCTTTTACTTTGAGTTATAGTTTCTTTTCATTGAGAGTTTAAAATGTTGATATTGTAATGTTTTTCTGTTATTTTCTTTATTGTTTTCACTATAATGCCTCTTTAAAAAATAAGATAAAATAAAAAAACCTTTCCCCTACCTCAAACTCATAAAGATATCGTCCTTATACTTCCTTATAAGACATTAAAAACATTTTTGTCAAATTTAGGTCCATCAGTGGTTTGTTTATGTGTGTGCCAAGCCAATCATTCCATTTTCCACAATGACCTACAATGCAAATAGATTCACAGACTAAATTTCTACATGAGTGTGGCAGTCTGCAGGTGAGTTAGGATTATGTTGTTTGCTTCAACAAGACAGAAATTCCTTCTTTTTTTTTTTTTTTCATGTTACCCAGACAGGTAGTCTAGGGCATGTGACCTCCTACACACAACTTCTATGTTGTTTTGTTTTGAAAGCGCTTGACCTCATGGTCCCACGTAATGACCTTTGCATTCCAAGCAGCAGGAGGAAATGAAGGTGATAAAGAGAAAATGAGTAAACACTCTCAAACGATCCCAGAAGCTGCCACATGGCATGTCTGCTTACATCCTGTGGGCCAGAGCCGGGAAAGGGGCCTTTATTCTAGCCGTCATGTGTGCAGCTAACAATTCCACACGATGTGAGCAGGGCCAACATTGAGAGGTCGCAGCAGCCTCTGCCTAATCTGTTTCTGGACTGTTTATCTGTTCCAATGAGAAGCCCGAAAATATTTTTTTTCCTAATATTTAAAAGTGTATGTTTACTTTTTGGAATGTTGAAATATTTTAAAATGACAAGCAATAAAATATAACCAGCTGCATACCACCTTTGAGAATCAACTACAGAATGACCATTCTATTTTATTTTTTAAATCATATAAGAAAGTTTTCTATGCTTGTTTGTACATTGGAGGAAATTTCATTAAGGATATTTTATAAGAATTGGACCATAATACATATGCTATTTCAATTAAAAGTATCAAATTGAATTTTACTTGAATTTGAAAGAAGTTGAAGTGAAACTGAAGGAAGAGTTGAACTTCAAATAATGTGTCTTGACCACAAGAGATATTACTTCCTAAAAGATACCTCTGAGGTTAAACAGGAATTGTGAAAAGCATTAAGAGATTGGAGTCATTTTTAAAAATATATTTTATTGACTTCAGAGAGAGAGAGAGAGAGAGAGAGAGAGAGAGAGAGAGAGAGAGAGAGAGAGAAACATCAATGATGAGAATTATGGATCAGTTGCTTCCTATATGCCACCTATTGGAGATTGAGCCTGAAACCCAGGCATGTGCCCTGATGGAAATCAAACCAAGACCCACTGGTTCATAGGTGCTCAACCACTGAGCCACACAGGCCAGGCTGGAGTCATTTTTTAACTATACATTTCAGTTATGTGTGTATATTATTAGATCCCAAAATTCTTTCCATCTTTCCATCTCTTTGACCCTGCCTCTGGTTTCTTATACTACCTGTAATAATAAAAGCATAATATGTTCATTAGACAGGACATCCTTCGGAAGATCTTCTGGATGAAGCCAGGGCTGCGAGGAAAGCCGGGTCCTGGGTGCCAGCTGCCGGGAAGGGAGGTCTGCTCTTGCATGAATTTTGTGCATTGGGCTGCTAGTTACCTTTATATCAGCTATGTTAGTGATCGTCACTCTATGTTCTGTAAAAACATAATTGTATAGTTATGCAACTGCATTGTGATCATGAGGAAAAAATGGAATAAGCATTACTTAGAGAGTCACTTAAAATTGAGTCAGGCCCTGGCTAGTGTGGCTCAGTGGTGGAGTGTTGTCCTGTACACCAGAGGTAGCAGGTTTGAGTCCCTGTTAGGGCACCTCTCTCTCTCTCTCTCTCTCTCTCTCTCTCTCTCTCTCTCTCTCTCTCCCCCCCTCCCTTTCTCTCTCTTTTTCTCTCCCTCTCTCTGGAAATCAATGGAAACATGTCCTCAGGTAAGGATTTTTTTTTAATTGAGTCAGGAGGCTGTTAGGTTACTGGGACCTTCGCAGCCTCTGCATGGATTGTGCCTCAGTGGCTAAACTGTTAAACTCAGCTCAAGGCTGAGTCATAAACACTCTGGAACTGCTGCATGGACGCTTATGGACTTTATGTCCTTGTGGTTTTCACTTCCCTCGTTTGCATATCGGAACTAACCAATCCCTGTTAAGCTAGTCAGCAACCCTCATTTGCATGAAATAATTACACTTGGTGATTTTTGTCTTTACAAAACCAGTCCTTCTTTGCTCTCTCCCCAGAGCAGTTTGGATTATTACCTCTATCTGTGTCTCTGGGCTGCCCCTTATTTTTACTCAAATAACTGCTTTGTATTCGTTATTACAGCCTAAACGTTTTGGGTGACACTTGGAACACAGTGTAGTTTAAATGACTTCAATAT